TTTGAAAGAGTTGTCTCTGGCAGGCAAATAAACAAAGAAGGGTAGATAGAGTCGTGTTGTTGGGATTCTCTGTGCCACTAGAAATATCTGGGGTTGCACCAATGTGTGTGTGTGTGTTGGATCTCTGCTTGCAGTAATGATGCAGCTTCAGTGTGCTGTGTTAGGGAGAGAAAAGGAAAAAACAGATATACCTGAGGTGACCGTGGGGGGGGGGGGGGCAGTATTTCAAGCAGAAGTGCTTGCATTCAGATTATTTATTTATTTATTTATTTAAAACACTAATGGTTGAGTAAATTAATTCTGTAAAAGGTAGAGAGCCTGCTTTTCTTTACCCTAAGGATTCTTTGGGTAAAGAAGAGCCATGGGTGCAGTATGTAATAAATTTTAACAAATGTCAGCTATGAAAATAGTGACTGTGATCAGAAACATTGTAGAAGGATAGTATAATACAGTTTGAAACAATGACTCTCTAAGGACAGCATAGGTTATTAAAAACCTTGGGCAACCATCATTAATGAAACCACCTTGCCCCATTAGCCACACTTCTATATTATATTTACTGAAGTTGACAAAACTAAGTATTTTTCTTTGTGGCTTGAATGGCATCATGAGGTTGCCAGTCTTACACAACCCATTTTTAATTTGTGAATGGCAAATGTTGTCCTGTGTACGTGCTTGGTTTAGAAGTGAAATGAAAGGAGGTTTTTTGGTGGGGATGCTACTTTCTACAATTTTGGATGTTTTGTATAATTTAGAACCAATTTGAAAATCGCGGGTTCTACATTTAGAATGGAACTCAAACATTTGTGGTTTGAGTTACATTCTCCAAGTCACAATCGGAAGTTCTCATAAATATTGCTGCAAGGGGGTTTTCTGTTTTGTTTTTGTTTTGTTTCTAATTTTTATTCCACTGGTGTACTTACTTCTAGAGATGAATCATTTTGGGCATAGCATAGGTTTCTTTACATAGAAATGGGGTTTTAAAAACATAATTTCCCTGAGAAAACATTGGTGTAAAAACACACATGGTTCTGCTTTTCCTGCAATCTGCAGAAGAAGAACAATAGAGGTAGCTGACTCTCCTGCACACAAATGCTGCAGAAATCTGGGTGGAGGGACTGTGCATGAGCAGATAATCTGACCGTTACTTATTAGATCACTATTAAATTACCTTCAATCCTGTTCTCGGCTCAGATGCCTTCTACTACACCAGCTCAAAAACTAAAATATTTGTTGTGTGGGGAAAATGTTTCTGTTATATGGACTTCCATAGTTGCTGACAAGTCATAAAGACAAGAAAAAAGTACACCTCTACCACAATATAACCCTGTCCTCGGGAGCCAAAAAATCTTACCCATTATAGGTGAAACTGCGTTATATAGAATTTGCTTTGATTCGCCGGAGTGTGCAGCCCCGCCTCCCCCTCAGCACTGCTTTACCGTGTTATATTCGAATTCGTGTTATATCGGGTTGCGTTATATTGGGGTAGAGGTGTATGTTAAAGGTAGGTTCCTTCTGACCTAAATGAACAAATGTATTTCTAACCCTGCTTGTTTTAATTTTGCATCTTGTTTGATGGGTTGTGATTTTAAAAGTGTACTTGGGGAGAAGAGTTGCTGTTATCTTCTTTGCATCTGAAAAGTCTGTATTTATTTTATTGAGCTGTGTTGATTTAAAAATTTTATTTATCTTACATTTATTTGATTGTGCACTATGACCTAAGGCTAAGATGCTATACTAATTAACTTGTGTTTGTTAAATTACCATAGTCCCATGATATGAAAACTCCACCCAGTCAAAGTAAAGAGTCAGTGTCCCCTTGTGAGGGCCTGTTACTCACCTAAGCAGTCCCTTTGAAGTATTGTCAAATTTCTATGTGACTGCTATTTCCATGTTTGCAGCATCTCATAGATAACTTTCATAATAGTCTCTCTGCCAATATATTCACCTGGGGAAAAAATAGTTCTGTACTAAGTTGGCTGCAGGTCAGTCTCAGGGATTAAAAGATGCATTTCTGAGGCTTCTTACCCTGGTAACATGCCCATCAGCACACATCTACAACCTCATCCACCTAGGCTAGGGTTGCCAATTTTCGACTTGCAGAAAACCAAATACCCTTGCCCTGTCCCTGCCCCACCCCTTCTCTGAGGCCCCACCCTGCTCACTCCATCCCCCCTTCCTCCTTTGCTCGCTCACTTGCTCATTTTCACTGGGCTGGGGCAGGAGGCTGGGCTGTGGGAGCGGGTGAGGGCTCCAGCCAGGGATGCAGGCTGTTGGGTGGGGTCAAGGTAAGGAGTTTGGGGTGCAGGAGGGGGCTCTGGACTGGGGCAGAGGGTTGGGGTTTGGGTGGGGAAGTGAGGGCTCTGGGGTGAGGCCGGAAATGAGAAGTTCAGGATGTGGGAGGGGGCTCTGGGCTTGGGCCAAGGGGTTTGGAGTGTGTGTAGGGGGGTTGGGATGCAGGAGGGAGTGTGGGGTATGGGATCCAGGAGAGAGTTTGGGTGCGGGAGGGGGTTCTGAGTTGGGGCAGAGGGTTGGGGCGTGGAGGGGGTTCGGGGTGTGGGCTCCGGGGGCTGCTGACTTCGGCGGCGCTGACTTCAGGCGGGAGAGAGTCTGCGAGGCTGTCAGGAAGCAGCTGCATGTCCCTTTGGCTCTTAGGTGGAGGAGCAGCCAGGGGCAGCGCACGGAGCCCTCCTGGCCACCCCTCTGCCAAGGAGCTGGACATGCCGGCTGCTTCTGGGAACCACGCAGAGCTGCAGCCAAGATGACAAAGCCATCTGTGATGACAAGCACTTCCAACCTGTCCAGCCACACAACCTCTCCCACTCAAAATATGCTATAATCTGTCCAAGGTCACAAACGTCTTAGTTCATAGCCTCAAAATGAGAGCCTGTGTAGGTGACACTAGAAATGGGATACTTGCTAAAATATTTCAGCTTCTGAAACTGAGAGACTGACCTCTTACATGTCACATCCTGTTCTCATCCAAGCCAGGTCATTTAAAATGACTAATTTGTTATAGTTTTCTGACCAGGAAATGGAGCAATACATTTCACTGGACACAGTATAATGAACAGCTAAGGGCCAAAGCCATCAGTTGTCATAAATTGATGAAGTTCTATTGACGTCAGTGGGACTACACTGATTTATATCAGCTGAAGATTTTTAAACACCTCTTAATTATTTTTTATTTTCTTTTGGGGGAGATGTGCTCTGTGGTATAAATGCATTTTATAAATAGACTTGGCAGAATTCAATTTGTAAAAAAAAATTCTGATGGATAATATTGGTTTAATTGTAAGCATTTTTTTAGATTGTTATCCATTTTAGATTTTCACAGTGGCATGACATTATTGGGGGATGTTAGACAATTATTTTATGACAGTAGACATTGATATTCAAAAAGTTTGACTTTATAGACTGTTAAACCTCAAATTGTCAGCATCACATGTCAAAATATACAAAGTAAATATCCTTAGATCAAGAAATCATACCTATTCATTTGTTAGTCCATTCCTCACAAGCCTAATTCAAAAGTCAAAATCACTGGATTTTTACGCTAATTAAATTCTCAAGCAGCTTTTTATTTTTTACTTTGCCTATCTGTAAATCTTGATTATTATAGTGGAAATATTTTTTCATTGCTTTGTGTATGTACGGTGAAATCGACATTTACTGCTAAATCTAATCCTTCCAAGACTATTTATGAAGTACTGTATAGGAATTAATGAAGCTTTCCCTCAACAAACTAGCCACCCCAAACTTGTAACAAACATGCTTGTGTTTCTTGCTTCTTTAAACTTAGCATTGTGCTTTCTGGTGGATTAATTTTGTCCACTGCCCCTTGTAAAATACCTTTGACCTTTGTTATTTCTTATTCTCCTTGGAGTGTGGAGGAGCCGGCTCTATTGGTTATGTTTATTTCACTGGAGGGACAGACAGGAGAGAGAAGGAGACTTTACTAGAACAGATTTTGCCAAGAATTGGCTTTATTTCGTTCTACGGTATTTTTCTATTTAATATATTTCATGGTCAGTCTCTTTCATAGTAAAAAAAATAATAAAATAAAAAAGATGCTTTTTCATGTGTTGCATCAGATTTTGAACTGGGACATTTTGTGTAGACCAACAGAGCTTGATAGCCTACTGCTTACTTTTATTGAAATGCAAGGAATGGCCTTTCCAACTCACTATATGTAGGAACAGCGCCACACTCTCTGAAATAGCTCCAACTGTAAAACAGGTGCTGTGAACCCATCACCCTGGTGCACTGCTCTCTACATTCTGTTCCTGGCAGGATTGGATCCTTTGTGAGAGGTCTGTAGTCAGTAGTAAAATTCACATTATTAAGGTGCATTTTCTTTAATATCTGTCCCATATGACAGCACTGTAAAAGTTCCTTGCACTGTAGGGAGAATTATCAGAACAGCGTTCTATGATAATACTGTATCATTCCATACGTTATTTTATATAGTTATGGAAACTAAAAGATTCTGGATGTAATCCTTACCCTTGTAAAGACAATGGGAGTTTTGCCATTGACTTTAAGTGGGGTCACAGTTTCTTTACAAGGCATTTTGAAAAATATGTATGTCTCCAAAGACTGAAAATATCTGAATTCAGCTTGCTTGAAGAATCCAAACAATTTTTAAAACCTCCTGAAAACAAAGTCCTTTAGTGAATCAAATTTAAGTTGAATGATGGCAGCACCCATGATTTGCTGTATCTTTTAAGTCTTATCACTAAAGGCCACATTTTTCTCCCATTGAAGTCAATAGGAATTCTGTGGGACCAAATGTAAACCTGAATAAAATTTCAACTTTTTCTTTATTGTGATGTCACTTTCCAGGGGCTTTTATAAAGAATCAAAATGCTATCACATCTATTATTTTAAGCCAATGGCCAGCTGGCTCACTGCTGAGAAGATCATACTCCTTGACAGTTAATGTCTCTCTTAAGATATGAATTGCTTCTCAGGAGCTGTCTTTTTTGCTTACTTTATAGGAGCAGCTCAGAAAGGAGGAAGGAGAAATCAAGAGATGCAGCAAGGTGCAGAAGAAGCAAGGAGACTGAAGTATTCTATGAATTAGCCCATGAACTGCCCTTGCCCCACAATGTTAGTTCGCATCTGGACAAGGCATCCATAATGCGTCTGGCAATCAGTTTCTTACGCACTCACAAACTGCTGTCCTCAGGTAAGGCCCATAGAAGAGAAAGGTCAATGTTAGTTGATATCACAATGGCAAAGGTATGCTTATTATTTTCTAAATACAAGAGACTAAAGGCATAAAGGGGACACCTCCGCACGTGTTCTGAGAACTCAGACAAACATTAGAGCATAGCTTTTTATCAGAACAATGTGATTTTTTTTTAAGGGCTTAGAGAAAATTGAGCAATATCAGTCATTAATTGTCAAAATAAGATTTGAAGCCAAATTCAATGACATTTCATATAGGTAGAAATTAATCTAAAAATGCCCTAGAAAATGGCTAATTAAAATCAATTAAAAAGATTTCAGGCTTCAAGAATGTAATCATAATTAAAATACCTAGATTATAAATTGCAGAAAATTTTCCATGCTGAGACAAGTAAATCCTGATTTGGCATAGAAAACACATTTGCATACGTGCATTTAGAAGGTAGCTCTGACATTCTGAATGTCCAAAAAACATTGTTTAAAAGGATGAATTGTACTATATGCTGATAGTAGATAGATAATAGATGGCATTCTAGTAGATCTGAGGCACAATGTGCTAAAATAGCTAAAGCCACAATCTTAAAATATTTGACCTGGATGGAGAGATTCTGTTAAAAGAGAAACCACCCACTTTGCTCATTTCAGAGCTATATGATGGTGCACATGGTGAATGGGATCTTTCAGCATCAGTAAATTATGAAATGTATTTTAAAAGTTTTTAATTACTGCTACCACTTCTGAGTGTACGCTGCTCTGGGAAGTGACTTCGGTGGACATTTGTGGCCCCTGCAACCTACAAGATCAATGAAAGCAACTGTAATAGCAGTTTCCATTCTTTGATTCTGAATTGTGGCAAGGAATAACACCTGTATTTAGTTTTATGACAGAAAAAATCAGGGATGTAAAATGGTAAAGAATTAATCCCTTGATGTTTGGAGGCATGCCATTACTCATTACCTACAATAGGATGTATAAGGAGTAATTACAACATCTAAAATCAAAGGGTCACTTAGTTCTTTGGACTAAACACTGTAAGATCTAGGGATGGTAAAACTATTTGATTGAGTTAACTATGTCTTCAAGATTTGCATGTCACTAGTCTTGATCTTTCTGGGGTGATTTTCATACAGTGATTTCTTGAACACTGAAACTACAACATTAACAATAACTCATACAATACCTGAGTTAAAAATGAAATAGTATGGGTGAAATCCTGTTCCCAGATAAATCCATGGTAAAACTCCTAATGACTTCAATGGAGTCAAGATCTTACCCACAGTCTTTAAGTTGACAAGTGGGATATATAGTAATACTGCAAAAAATGCTATTAGAAAGCATCTTATTTTTTCTGTTACTTCTTGAGTGTCTGTTTTATCATGGAGCGTAATAGCTAAATCACATGCTAATTGTGGTTATTCAGCAGGTCACGTCAGATTAAATCAAATTCATGCATTTCTATTTCCAGGTGATTATGGGATGTCTTTGTGTTTACTGTGATGCATTTCCACTTCCTCAGAACTGATTTAAGAGTTTTTATTCTTGGCTCATAGTGATTGTGAGAATATTACATTCTATCTGTGCCTATTATAATGGAAAATAAAATAGAGGGATCTTTAGAAAACTCTCTTTGCTTAACAGAACTTGCATATCATCTGTGGTTTTGTCAGTAATATGCCATACTCAAACAAATTGCATAAAAAACAAACTTTCTTCCCATTAAAAACTCCATATGTCATGCCAACTAGTTACCAGTTAACCAATTTTAAATATTGAAGAAATTTTTTACATCTGCAGATTGCGAGCTATTGATTGGTGTAGAGTAGACTAGATTAGTGGGAAAACAAATTTATTTTTTTCCCTAAGGACAACAAGATAGATAACGTTATTATATTACAAGGATGTCTTTGAAAGTTAAAATTAAGTAACTTCAGATTTGTTGTTATCATCATCACACAAGGACACCAGATTCACCTAGCAATTACTAAGGCAAAATGAACTCTTTCAGAAAGAATTAAATCTATATTTCTTGGCAGACTAAGAAGTATGAATAAAACATATCTTTTAGTGCCCTCATACATGTCTGGCTTAAGTTTATACTGTTTGACACTTCCAAGATCTGATATTGGCATGATTTGTCTGTGATATTAAATCAGCTTTTAAAACAAGTTTGTGGTGAATGCAACTGAATCACTTTACCTGGAATACCCCACTACCCAGTAGCTAAATGAACCTGAAATAAGTCATCAGTTACAATTGTAACAGCCTTTGTTTTAATAATTCAACTTTTTATTTTCCAAGTCAGGTATAAATATAACTATAAATCCAGCAGCAAGTCAGATGTTGTTCTTCTGTTTGTACAGCAAATATAATTACATCATTTAACCAAAGTCTGAGTTGTTTCTACACAGAATGCACCTTTAGACATCCAAGACTTTCAGAAGTTATTTTGGGTGTCTGCACTTTTGAGTGCCCACCTTGAACACCTTAAAGGGGCCTGATTTTTCAGAAAGTGCTTTACACCTGCTCTCCAAAAATCAGAACCCTCTAAGGTGTCCCAAACTGAGCATACAAAATCCTTGGTCACTTCTGAAAGTCTTGGCCCATAGCCGTGTTCATCTCAGGTGCAAATCTGTTTAAGTTAACCAAGTGATTTACGGATGAATTTGATCCTGAATATTTGAAATAAATAGTTTTAAAATGTTATTGGGTTTTAGAACACAGCAGTATTAAATTACTGCGAAGATTTGTGAAATCCTTTTTGATGAGACAAGACTTTACTTTCATCAGCCTGTTGCCTCCCTCAGTAGTCACACATGATTACCATTAAGACCAGTGGGAAGAATGCATTGGTATCAAGGGAGAATCGAAACTTACCAATAAATTCCCAAGAAGGAAACACAGATTGAGATATTTTAGGAATTATATATTGAAAGAATTAGCCTAAAGTAAACCTATACCCATTAGGAAATTATTTCTTGCCCTGAATAAGCGTGATATTTGGAAATCAAGTTTGTTGTAAATAAAAGTTGACATTTCTGAGAAAACTACTGGTATTAGCAGTCAAGGTTTAATTTAAAAAAATATTGTTTTTGTCCCTCAAGAGAGAATGGGGGCTGGCTAATAATATGAAGAGCTTGATTTTGTTATATAATAGTTATGTACACTAGTTAATGCTTAAATAGCATAGTTTTTCTGATCAGTTAATTTGAAAGCAGGATGAGAATTAGTTTACCACCTTTGATATTGGGCTCTTTTGAATTAGATACATTTTAGCAGCATACTAGCTGTCATCAGACAATGATGAAATGTCAAATTTAATGGAAAACGTTAGTTTCCAATACAATTTGTTGCTCATGTATGACCAGGATTGCTGCTCATCATGCAAACATTCTGAAAGTAGTGTGGAACAAAATGGAAAGTGGGTTGTGAGATACTTGACCACATTCTGCTGTCAGTCACACCAGTCTAAATCAAGACTGTCTGCAGTAGCTTGAATAAAGTTACCCTTGATTTATATTGGTGTTTACAAGAGCAGAATTTGGCCCTTTTATTACACATGAGGAACCTAATTCCAGTAGGGTACATTGATAAAATGATTGATTAGAAGTACAGAAGTTAGTGTGACAGCTACTGACATTGAAATGGGAATTTAAAGGACTGAACTCTCCACAAGAAGCAGTGGATCGCCTCAACTCAGGCTACTCCTTTTCATTTTATCTTGTCTTTTTGGACACAACCATGATTAAGTCAACTAGACATTTTTTTATAAACTGGACTTGAGTGTATTTATTTTGTAACTGATTGGAACTGTAAAAATAATATTTGCTGCATTTATGTACTCACATTGTCAGTAAAACAAGCTGCCAATTCAACTTGAAAAAAAAATACTTTAAAGGGAATCCAGTACACAATACTGCTTGCTTAGTGTTTTTGTTATTATTCAAGCTTTGATTGTTTTTATCAAAAGCTAGAGTCATTTAAGAAAAAAATGTTTTGATATCAAAGTATTTGCAACGTGTTCTGATCCTGCCAGGGGTCTGATACTTCCAGGGGCTGACCTCTATAATTCTCATTGTATGGGTGAGAATTCAGACTGCTGAGCACCTCAGAGGACTGGATCCTACATTCACACTGTAACAGGAATTTTCAAAGGGGCCTAAAGCGATTAGATAGCCAACTGGTCTTGAAAGTTAATGGGTGTCTAACTCCATCATTAACAATAATAATAAAAAATAATTTAATAAATGCTTAATAAAAAACTCAAAGGGTTTTACATTGGAGGCCAGTGTCATTATCTCTATTTTACAGATGGGTAAAATGAGGCACAGAGAGGTGAAGTGACTTGCCCATTGTCACCCAGCAGGTCACTGGTAGAGCCAGGAATAGAATTTAGGTCTCCTGAGTCCCGGTCCAATGCTCTATCCACACTTCCTCCTCCATTAAGGCCCTCTGAACATACCTGCTTCCATGTAAGATGTTGCAACTCCATTGAAGTCACTGAAAGGTCTGAATTTGGCCCTTTGTGTCCTATCATAATAGGAAATAGCTGGCTGAATATCTTCAGAGTTCAAAAGGGTAAAAAATACCAGGTTTTGCTTTTATAAAAGTTGTTCTTTACTTAGTAACACATTTCCCTTTGATTTTCACAGTAGGCAATTCAGTGTGGGAATGTTGGAAAGGAAGTCTTTAACATTTAGAAATACAGGCTGTAGGTCTGACAGTCTGATTGAGATCAGTATCACAGGAAGCAAACTGAAACAATAGCTTTATAATTGTTTCCATGCTGTGCGTAGACAGAACAGTACACAATATAACTGGAACTTAGCAGAGACATTGTTAAATATGATCACCTTAAAGATTTTTCAAGATGTCTTCTAATTATACTGACATGATAGATTTTGTCATCTTTATATGAGAAAATGAGTGTGATTATTTTAGAATATATCTTGTTTTTTCCAAATTAGGATCTTGATCCTGCATTTTACTTCTGTGAGTAGC